ATGTTCATAAATAAACCTGTTACCTAAGCATCTGTTTAATGTCTTCTGTACATTTTATGTGCATGTTTTTGGATTTTAAATACTTAGAGCAATGTTCCAGGTTCCTTCAGATCAAAAAATTAGATGCAAGCCTCTTCTGAAAGTGCTACACTGTTTTTTGGCTTTGTTATGCAATTGGATAGACATTTGTGCTTACAACAGAGTTGCCATGTTTAATTTTACTAAACAAAACTGAAATTCATTTCAGAATTGTGGAAATATATAATCCATTTCACTTCCCCAATAGATGGCACTGGTGGAATGAAATTATACCATAACTCAATTAAGATTCTAGGTTAAATACATTCAAAATATATAGTAAAATGTATTTTTTATTTTTTAAATGTTTTAAATATGTTAGTATTATTTTTACATGTTTTAATTTTTTAAATATTATTCTTAAATATATGTTTATGTTATTTTTTTCATGTTATACATATTGCAAGTAAACTGATCAAAAAGTGTGAACTATATTTAGAATTTGTGTAAGTGGTGATTTTATAACCCAACCATTGGAACGATGAAAATTTAATAATAGGAAATGAAGAATTTGCTTCATTGGAGGAACAAGTTCAAGCTATAATATCTGATTACTAATTCAATTTAGAATTACAAAAATGTTCCCTAGTTAGCAGCATTTTATACTGCAGTTTAACAAAGCACTGTACCAATTAAATATGGTAAAGTTATAAAACTTCCCCAGTTTTTTAAGAAGTCTTGCATTTAACAGCAACTGTTAGGTTAATGTGCATCTACATATATTACATTTTTTTTTTTTTTTTTGCAATGGTCTTTGTAAGGGAGTCTCTGTCATCTCTTTCTGCTCCCAGCTCTCAAGGTTGATAAATCCAGAGAATTGTCCATCTCCGTGTGACCTTTATTTGCCCTTTTACCTGGTTGAAGAATAGGCACAAAATTGCTGGAGTCCAAGCTTATTCATAACCTGGCTATCTTAGCAAATGCCAGCTACTCACTCATTTGCTTTCCAACCAAACTGTCACTCAATGGCAGGACTTCATTTCTCATTGTTTGGGATGTACCCCAGTATTTTCATGATAATAGGGTCACAAATTCAGCTGGAATTTGGGCAACATACAGTAATTTTTGAAGTTATATAGAAACAGTATACCAAAAGCTAAACAGATATCTATGAATGATCACATGGCACCAGAGCAGGAGTCCACATGACACTCCTGGTAGTCATGAATTTTGGTGTTTTTGTTTTTTAGAGACCACAATTGGGACCGACAACTTGGTCATTAAGCAAAGGAGTCGCTAAGTAAACCATGACTGTGCTTAGGATCTTCAGCTTTCCTTTGCTTTGCAAAGCTGCGAAGGTCGTAAATATGAGAATTGGTCGCAAAGTTACTTTTTCATAACCGTTGTAACTGCAGACAGTTGCTAAATGAGGTAGTTGCTAAACAAGGACTACCTGTATTGGCTTCTAATCCTACTAAAATAATTACCCCAAGTTAATTTAAATACTATAAATGTGATCATAATGAATCCACTCTGAAATTCCTTTGAGCCCTTCAACTAACATAAATTAATATCAGTGGCTTCTGAAGGCCATTATTTGCTGAAACATGAATAAGTATCAAATATTCTGTTTATAAGAGACAGGGTTGATTGATAAGTAACATTTGACACTATATAAGAAACTAATAGAAATAATCAGCACTTTAAAAAGGCAGTGCACTTTTTGTTTGATCATATCTATGCATTGAGACATCAGTTACAGTTGATATAAGGTCTAATATTGAAAGTCCTTATAGGAAAATAGGAGTGATACTGATTGCCTCCTTTTTATGGAACTCCAAATATTTTGCAGAGCCAGCAACACCCAACTGCAGTTGGTTATTTCAACAGCCTTAGCAAGTAATGGAAAAGTAATTCCACAAATCAGAGGCAGTGAGTTGGTAGAAACTTGAGTAGGGTAAATCAACTGTACCAAATCATAAGCCCACATTCTTTTAACAGTGGTCGGTGGAAACAAGGCTACATTCTTCATCAATAATAATATTACATCATTAAACAGCAAGATACTCTTAGACTCAGTTGACACCCCCAACATCACTCTGTTGCTGTTTATGCAATAATTACATGAAAGATAATGTCTTCTTGATATTGGTTCACTTTCAAGAAAGGCATATGGCAGATTTTCATGGATCATCTTGACAGTGTTGTGGTGGATATAAAACCAAATCCAGAGAACTATAAAAACCTTGTAAAAGCTACAAAGTGCTACCTGGAGAATGTATACCAAGAGGCTGAAGGACAAAGTCCCGGATCTTATATCTTACTTATCTGTATGTATGTTGTATGATACTGATAGAAAGCCAATTTGTTTATGAAAAATATATCTCTACACAGAAGAGCCTGCAGCTGTATTGGTTAAAGAACAATGTAGGACATGACAGGAATTGATTGAGACAGTAGATATATTTCACAACTGCAAACATTTGATGATTATTAGAAAGTTGAACAGCAACGCAAATAAGTTGGAACACTATCACAACATAACAGCCAGCTAAGTAGCAAAACAGTTTGCAAGCCCCCAAACAGATTACAAAAAAAAGAGAAAGAAATGAAATAAAATAAAATAAAATAAAATAAAATAGCACAATAATCAAGAGAATTAGTATAATAAAAGTTGCTTTTTAATGATGGATTTAGAAAATGCCATTAAGTATATGAAATCCAGCAAACCTTCTTGCTTAGGAATGTTCAGACTGAGCAAATAATATCACTTTGGACTGGACACCAGGAAATGGGTCCTTGGATGTTCAACCAAGAGGGACAAAAATAAGGCCTGCAGACAGTCATGTTTTGTAGTGTTGCTGAAATCAACCTCCCTCTTATGCCACTCATACAAGCTGTTTCTAGATAGAACTGGGGACAAATGTGACTGATAGTATATTCAGCAAAATAGATTATAACAAGAAAGTGTGCTGGTGCTCTTTAACTTTAATATGAATAATCGACATCAAAACACAGCAGCTTAATCTATGCTGCTTAGGCAAAGGAATTTATCCAGAATAACAAGTCACTACAGCAGCATTAGAAAAACTGACCACCTGTTATGCCACCAAATAATTTATAGCAAATGCAAATAAGACTCAGGTCAACCTCTTCCACTTGTGCAATTAAGATGCAAATCAGAATCTGAATATTAACTGGAATGGAACATGGTTATATTACAATGAAAATCTGGTATATTTTAGAAGGGTCCCAGATTATATACTTTGTTTAAAATACATTTAGAGAAATTGAGAAACACCTTTGCCCACAACACAGTGAATTCCCAAAGTTTCCAAACTCTCATAAAACTGCTCATCAAGCAACTATTAGTAGTTCTGCCTTTGCCTTTGTTACTCCAGTACAGAATATGCATATCTAGTTTGGGACTAGACCTGTTGACCTGTTCTTGAACAACAGCTGCAGAATTATCACTAAAAGAAATAAGTTGTATATATTCAGTGGAATAGCCCTGCCACCTATTGCAGAGAACTGTGCCCAATCAGAATGAGACAAAAGACAACTGGAGAGAAACAGCAACTAGCATGAGTTTTATTGAGCATCATAGCCCCTGCTGTCCTGTAGTGTTCAATTGATCCCACCACAAGTACCATGTAGTGGCAGAGTTGAGCCCATAGGTTGAAAAGTTGGAGACCTCAAATCTCATGGCCCATAAATCTTCGGGATCTACACACCCTACCTCCACCTCCTGTCTTGGTGTAGCGGCTTACTGCCACTCATGCCTTTACTTGACACCTTTGTCCCCTAACCTCAGGTACTGAGAGAGATAAAGCCCATTCAAACTGTGCATGTTACTGGCCAAGTACAAAGGAAAATAAAATAAAATTGAAATAAATTCTATAGCACTATCACTTGGGTTTGAAGTATTGAGGTATGACATCAGAGAAATCAACCCATCTCCCCCTTTGTGGGGGGGGGAATAAGATTAATTTCACACAGCATAAATAGAATCAGACTTTATTTTTTAAAAGTAGAATAGTTAAAATAGCCAGGTAAAATATTCTCTGCAAAGGGATAAAATTTAGAGCTACTAAAATTACAGGCAACAGCTTAAAGGAATCTTCTGGAAAAGCCTATAAAGCAGAAAATAAGGTTCTAAGCAGATTCAATATGGTAGATGTTCTGCTAATATAAGAGCAATTGTGATGTAAAGAAGAGCCAAAACACATAAAAGCGCACAATATATTGAGCATGTGCAGAGAACGTAAGCACCAGAAAGCAGTAAAGCAGTAACTAGCAGATCTGGAAAAGAAATTGGATGTAATGTAGTTGTTAGCTTACCTCTGTGCCAGTTTTGTTACCTGGATAATACTGCTTTCTACAAATTCTATTTTAAAGCTGAGACTGATGGGAGATAGTAATTCTCCCTTGTTTCAGCCTCTAGTCCAGCAACTTCTGATTTTAGACAAACTATTCCTTACTAGGCAGAAAGGGAATGGTTTGAGGGAATCTGCTTGTTGCTTCTGCTTGAAACAGAAGATGTTGATTCTCTATCTGAGAAGTAGCTGTCAATCTTGTGAATGTCAAGAAACATGCTGCACTTGCATATGCTGGCATTATTGAGGATGGGGAAAAGGCTTCACCAAATAATCCCATTTCTTTGATTTCTGCAAAGCCAGCAAAGCAATACAAATTGAAGATCTTTTCCCAAGCAAACCTACTGATAAGGAAGCAGGAAGCAAGAGGATGAAATAAATTAACCTGCTCAACATTAAGGTAGATCTCCTTTGTTCCTCAAGGAGCAGCATCTGTGATTGATCTCTCAGACTGGCATTGTCCATCTTAGTGTAGTGCATCCATACTGGTAGGGTAGGGCTTAGAAAACAAAATTCATTTCCAGATTTGATATTCTCCTATTTCAGGAAACACGGTGAACAGGCTTTGCTTCATATTTCTGAATGTTTCACCTAATACTGCCAAAGATGGTCTCCTGTTGTTTATTGCTACAGGTTACAAATTGATGTTGTTGAACTTTTCAAAAGCTATGATGGAAGTAGTTGCAGATGATAAATAGTTACAGACTATTGCTTATCAACGTGCGCTTTCCTCCACAGAGACTACAAGCTCCTGCAAAACAACTTCATCTCACTATGGAAAAATATATAATTTATCTTTTAATTATATTCCCAGAGTTTGAGCATATATTGTGTGCAAGAAATTTAATGCTAGAATGGAATTGAATGATTCTGCCTTATTTGGAACCTTCTTTCACTATCCATCTGATTTAGCCTGCCAAACTCATTACATCCCTGCCAAATGCATTATATGTGATTGTGCTGGCTTGTGTTTAGTCCAGTCAGTGAGTCAGTTGGATATTTTTGTCCTTCATAGTAATTAATTACTTTAATGTGTCATTCATTATGGGTGGGCTAAAGAGCCACTGTTATGGACTATATAATTTTCTCTCAAAGCCTACTTAATCTGATTGGTGGGTGACTAATCCCACTGTGACCACATTTTAATAGTGTTATCACTGAAATCTTTTGCCAGAAATTTAAGAGAAGCTATGTTTCAACCAGATTTCTCAGCAGCAAAGAGGCTGATTAATACAAAATCATCTCCTAGAATGAGCAAGCAGATTTGGATCATCTGGCTTCAAAGAATGTTCTTTGTCTGTTGTGGCTTTATATTGTGATGCTGTCTGCTAAACTCAGCCATTTTGGTTATGAAACAAATCAAAAGCTAGTACAATTACTGTAGATATCCTTTGCTAACACTAATTTAGGTAGAATTGAGTGGGATTTGCTCTTAAGTAGACATGTATAGGATCTCTCTATTCATTAAATTTTGGTTTTATGCACAATGGTACCAATAAACCTTTATTTTTATACACACTCAAAAATTCAGAGAGGAAGTTAAATTAATTTTATTTGTTGCTGTGAGATCTAAAGCAGGAACTAACCCCAAGCCAGAGATAGTCATTTTGTAAATATACAATTATTCAGCTACAACACCATGAAGTACTATGCCAAGCATCTGTTAATTTGGAAAGGCGGGAATTTAAACCCTAAGACCAAGGTTTCTCAACCAGGGTTCTGTGGAAGCCTAGGGTTCTGTGACAGGTCACTAGAGGTTCCCTGAGAGATCATGATTTCTTAAAAAAATTATTCAAATCCAGGCAACACACTCTTGCAGTGATGAGCAGAGACTGAACAAAAATCTAGTTACAGCTCTTTCTGAGGTATCTGGTAGTGCGGTATAGGACTGTGTTTATTTGGTTGAGTCCATTCTTAATTTTTGACATGAGATAGGGGAAACAGGTGAATGCTATAGTGCAGGAAGGGAGGAATATATTGAAGGAAGGTGAGGGAGAAGTGCATTTTTCAGGAAATTAATGGACTCATCCAACTTAGTCTGTGATGTCAGTCTCTTCCTCCCACATCTTTTCCTTGTGGTTTTCCTGTAGTTATTCTATCATGTTATTTTAAATAAATTCCATACATGTTTATTCAGTCATGTCTGAGGGTCCAATGTGGAAACTTTTGAAGAGGAGGTGTGAAAGAGGAGGATTCTAGAACAGACAATACTGATAAGTTTAATGATAATAATGATAGTGAAGAATTTAAATCTTTTCAGGCATTTCCCTGCACTGGTGCATCAGTGGACTAAAAAAAAAAAAGCCTGTGTTTACAATGAAAGCCACTTATCAATGGTTTTATATGGACTGGTGATCCAAGTTGCCCTATGCTGTTTGAGCCTATCTTTGAGCCTGAATGTGCAGCGGTTCCCTGAGGCCTGAAAAATATTTCAAGGGTTCCGCCAGGGTCAAAAGATTAAGAAAGGCTGGTGTGGGTCTTCCGGGTGTGTGGCCGTGTTCTGGAAGTTTTGTTTCCTAACATTCCTAATGAGGCACAGAGAGAACTGCTCCTGTCTGTGCTCCTGCCCTCTGAAGATGCAGGTCACAGATGCTGGCAAAATGTTAGGAAACAAAACTTCCAGAACATGGCTACACAGCCCGGAAGACCCACACCAGCCATCGTATTCCGGCCGTGAAAGCCTTCGACAATACATTAAGAAAGGCTGTCTAAGGCTATAAAAGTCATTTACATTTTCTCACTGCCATGAGTCAGCAGTCAGCTGTTATGGCTTCATTCTTGTCTACAATCAAGATTCTAAACTAGCTGAACCATGCCCGTGAATCTTCTACCAAGTTTTGCTGAGGAGTTGGGCTAAGCAAAGAAGCAATGAACAGTCAAGAGTTTGTGATTTAGTATCAAGTCTTGGTTGGGGCAATCTGACAGTTGTATTGTGTACTTAAGTATTAAAATACACAAATACACAATTACAACTGCAAGTGAATGCATATTTAGAAAAAGAGGGCACCTCCTAAAGTTATTTAATGCCTTAAAATTATATTAATTAATGGATCAGCTCATCAGGAAATTTGCAAGCATAAAGGAAGATACAGTTCTGCATATTTCTGGTAGAAATTTTCCTCTGAGATTAGTCTACAATTAGGGGCTTTCAAACTTTTTCCGATTGCAGAACCTGTTAGTTTAAAAAAAATTCCTGGAACCCCCAATCAAGAGGCAAAGCACTAGTGATAAAAAATTGGTAATAAAACAAAACATCTTGTTGTAATTTATATATGCAAATGTACATATTAAACATATTTGAATTTCACAAAAATGGATTTCCCAATTAGAGCACTGGCATTTGTTTAACTTTTTCTGTTTTCACTTGGTGCTGTACTGTCTGCAGCTTTGCCAGTTTGTAGCCAATGAGCCATATACGGAATGTTCACATTACATAAACATTTATTAGACCTAATTAAAACACAAAATAAAAATAATATGCATATACTGAGTGGTATATATCTAAGATGGGTATAACAGTTTAATACCGTGAAGCTGAAAATCTGTGCAGGAAAATCACATTTTGGGATGTCACTTAGAATTAATCCCTTACTTAGGAATGCTGATGGCCTGGACTACATAAACAAGACATGCAGTGTAATCATATAGACACAAATAATGGATTAACATAGTGAAATTAAATTGTATTTTTTTCCATTGTGAATGTCTGGCTGAAGCCTCTTAAGAACCCATCTTCTGCCTGCCTGCCTGCCTTTGCAAATGTAGTTGTCATGTATGTTTACTCCAGAGGAAATCCTACTCTGAAGTGCAAACTTGCACTGTAGGTGAACAGTGCAATCCTACATGTTTTTATTAATCCCCACACAGCTCCATGGAGCTTACTCCCAATGTAATACCCTTTCATTAATTGTATTTTTCTTGTTTTAGTTGTTATGAGTCACCTTGAGTCTTTGGGAGTTGGATGGCATACAAATTTGATCAAGCAATCAATAAATAATGATGCCACCTTGATTATTAAGCAGACCTCTTGGAACATATGCAGACACTCATACTGTCTGCAGTGTGGTAGGTGAAGAGGGAGGGAGGAACTCAGCACAGCTGCTCTTGTAGAGTTAGAATTGTTTGTTGAATTTGTGGGTAGGGAAGGAGTTGGGTTTTATGCACGCACATGGCAAGAGAAAAGCAGCCAGTCACTTCCTGTGTGGACACTAGCAAATTCTGGTGACATACAGCAAGTGAGAGGGGAACAGCAGCACTGAGCCAGGAGAGTAATGGTTTAGTGCATTTGAGAGGGTTTTTCCCTAGTCCCTTGCAGAGAGTTTTTTTCTCTCTCATATGCCAGCAGAACTCATTCAAATCCTCACACCCCTCCCCTACCATTTACATACTTTCTTTTCCTCATATTTATTCATTACATTTATATGGTTGCCTACTCTCAAGGGACTCTGGGTGGCTATCAGTTCTATTCCAAGACTTTCATTTTTTTTCTCTAAAAAGGTTTTTTCTAAATTTTGTGGTGAGAGCTTTTCTCTTTGGAAAGTTTAAAAAGCTGAAATGTGTAAAGTTATCACCACCGTCTGTATAAATAATCCACTTGTTTTAAGTTGTTTGTCAATACGAATTTAGCCAGCTATTCTAAATGTTCTCTAAAAAGGAGATGGGATTCTGGGGTGATAAAATCATGTAACCTTTCTAATTTATATTAGCCACTGTAGGCTGGCTTTCACAGGTGTATGTAGTATCCACATTTAATGAATAAATACATTGATGAATAAAAATACATTGTTTTAACAAAAATTCTGCACACCATGGGATAGAAGTTGCTGTCAACAGCAGTTTCCTTACCACTGCAACATTTTTAAGATTTTAATTTGAAGTTCGGGAGAATATATAACATTTAAATTTAAGCAGAGAAATGATTAATCCTTCATCCTTTGTGTGTTGGAATTCTGATCCTTTTCTGTAGTTATTGCTCTTCCAGAAATCAGGACAGTGTGTTGTTTAATCTTGTAATGTATAAACATTTAAATGGAAGATAAAATGATAGGGCTAAAATACAATTTTGTGGATCAGATAATGTATCAAGTGGCTGAATGCATTTTTATATCATAGTTTTCACTTTTACACTGTATAGTAAATAGATTTCTTACATATTCTTGGAGCATTTTGCTATAAATATTTCTGGAATACCTTTCCAGCTGCTCTTTAATATATAATCCAGTTCCAGTAAATGGCTTCCCCTCCATGTATGGTTGCTTGAGTTAGAGGATTTGCTCCCAATCTTCCAGTTAGGTCAACCAAAAAAATTAAGATATGATAGGGGGTCAGTGGAAGAAATTCATATCAAAACAACTACTCACCATGTCATTATGACAACCGGCTGTAACAAATGTGTTTCTGTTTTAAGTTATGACAATTATTTGCTTAAAGTAATTTAATCTGACAGTAGCAGGATGTTGAAAGACTTTTGAAGATGTCATAAAAGCGACCTTTCTGCCCATGTGCAGTGAAAAGCCATTTTTAACAAGAAATCTCAGAAACAGTACAACTTCTTTTGTACTTTGTTAATTAGTTATTGATTTGAAACAATGCACTAAAAAAATGTTAGATTAGCCAGACACCAACAAGGTCACAGTGTGACATTGTAATCATGATAATCTTAGAGTGGGTGTCTTTTTTTTAATATATGAACTCTTGTTTTTCAACTATAAGATATATTGTCATTATGCATACCTTAATGCTGACATGTTATGTGATCCAACTTCCTCCCCATAAATAGCAAGTTTATAAATTTATAAAATGTCATGTCACCTTAAAGGTATAACTAGATTTCATTCATGATGTTACAGTTCTTTTGCTACTCTTTTTTTGTTAACTGTGTTATGTATTATGTGCAGGTAATAATGGGCAGAAATTACTGTAAATTATAGAGCTACATAAAGTCCAAATGTATAAGCCTTTAATTAAATTATTATCAAAAGGTTTTATAGCTAATTTTTAAAGACTTTGTACTACAAACCTATTTCCTCTTGTAGGAGATTAAAAGTAGCATGTGTAGCACTAGGCCATTTTTTCTTGTAGAAAGTCATGAAACAAAGCCCCTACCACTGTTAGAATACTGAATCCAGTTCTGTTTTTAGTACTATATAATAAACAGAAGCAAAAATAATAAGGTATCATTTTCCAGCCTTCTGCTCCCCAAATGGCTTGTGGCAAGAGTTACCACCAGTGTAGCCATTGACCAAGCTGTCTGGGAATTCTGGGAGCTGAAATCCCAGTACATTTAGAGGGAATCAGGAAAATATTAAAATAGGGTGTAGTTATTTCTTTGAAAGGCTCATGCAGGAAGCACATGGTTCCCACAACTAACAATTCATTGCAGTTTACATGTTGGATATGCTTGAGAAAAGACCCTACCATATACAATAAACATGCAGAGCAAGTTGGAATTCTACATGTAAATAGCCTTTATCAAATTGTTATGTGCTAGCAAGATGCATCCTGCCCGGCACTGTCATGTTGTGAGGAAAACACTCACTAGAAGCAAAACCAAAGCATTTGGAGATAGAAACAACAACTATACTTTATTGGAAATACTTACAGTAAATCACTGGGCTCCCTGCTGGCAGATTACAGGAGAGAGTCTCAAGGAAGCCCACTTCTCACATTATATACATGTTGGCAATAACATTGGAACAGATAGATAACAAAAAGATAAAAGGGGTAATGTAATCACCCAGTACCCTTTCCTCTGGAATGCTTTGATAAGCTATTAGATTGACCATATTGTTGCTTTTCACACTTGTAGTATCCTTCCTGATGCTATCAACATGTACCATAAACATTGGTGTTTATTTGCACTCTCCTATTACCTAAATCTAGGCAGATGTAAGGACAAGTGTCTGGGTTCTGCTAACCATCTCCATTCTGGGGTCTCAGGATTGGGTTTATGTTATATGCATTTACACTACTGCTACTAAAAGGCAAACCACAAGATATATTTCTACATCCTTACTATAAGTTGAATACTCTATACCACTACAGTCATTATACATGCTTTCAGTACATGAAAGGTCATGTTAAATCTCCTAGCATGACTATAAACCTAGCATGGCCTTTAATTTTGATGGGTCAAAATTAGTGCCACTATAGAATATGGAAACTATGATAAATCTACTTAGCTAATTCGCTGTAGCAAAGGAACTACATTCTGTCTTGGAAAAGAATATTGAAATGAAGGGAAAGTTCTTTATTGGCCATCAGTCTTTGACTTTGTTTTACCATACTTTGTAATGTTTTAATTTGATTTAATATGCAAAAATGGAGAAAGTTGCAAAACAGAAGAAAGTAAACTTAACAGAAAAAGAAGGGGAAAAGCAAAGATAAAGACACACTAATATACAGTACATCTAGAAAAAGCTCCATTTTTAAATACAGCATTAAACCTTGATCACACAGAGTAATATTAATAATTCTTTCCATTATGTCTAATAGAAAGCATTCAAAAGTAGAGATCAAAGACATATAATCAGTCCACAGCTGTAAATTCAGTGTGAAAGAATAACCTTTTTTGCTAGACCTCATGCTCAATAGATTTTTGTTTATAATTTTTAATATGTAATTGGTGTATAATTCAAAATCACATTGACATTTTGAACCTGAATGAACTAGCGCAATGTGCTTTACATGGGGCTGTCCTTGAAATGCATGTGGAGGCTACAGCTGTACAGAATGCAGCAACACAGGCAGTGATGTGTTCTCCTTAATCAGCATGTTACATCTCTGCTTTGCAAGCTGCATTGGCTATCAGTATGCTTCTGGATTCAATTCAAGGTGCTGGTTGTAACTTATAAAGCCTTTAATGGCATGGGGCTGAGTTATTTGAGGGACCATCTCTCCCCAGTTATGTCTGCCCTTCCCATTTGGTCTCGCAGAAGAGGGTCTGGGTCCCATTTATTAGGGATTACCATCTGGCAGGACCCAGGAAGAAAACCTTTTCTGTTATGGAGCCTCTCTTTAGAATATCATTCCCCCAGATTAGACTGGTCCCAACCATGTCAGCCTTTCACAAGGCCTTAAAGATGGTTCTGTCACTAGGCCTGGAGGTCAGGAGGTGTGGCTGAGCTTCTACATTTGTCACTGATGAGTTTGTTTTTACCCCGACTGCAGTTTATATGTGTGTTGTCATTTCCTGTTTTTTATCTTTTATGCTTTTTTTAAACTATTGTCAGAGTCATGAACTTGAGATGGGTGGCCATATAAAATGAATGAATGAATGAATGAATGAATGAATGAATGAATGAATGAATGAATGAATGAATGAATCTCCTCCCAGAATCATATTAATTTATGTATGAGGGTTGAATGAAAAGTAATGCTTCTGGTGTTATAACCCACTAACCACTAACTGCTCTAATGTGTTCTTTAGCATCTGTTCTTTCAGTTCAGTTGGCAGCAAGTTGCAGTGAGAAAAGATTGTGCCACTATTGTTTGTGAAATGGAATCCTGCTGTGAGTTTTCATGAATGTGCTATAAGTAACTCATTATGCTTGAAACTTTGCTGAAAGAATCTTTCCAATTGAAATTCACCACTAAATGCAGGTGGTTTATACTGTTGACTTTCTTGATGTGAGCACTGTGCATTGCTAGGCCAAAAAATGTAAAGATGGTGAACTGGGAAGAGCTGATTTGTGTAATCAAGAACAGTAAAGAGTAAGGGAGATGATACTGACAGAAATATGCAAGAAGTGTTACCAAGGCAAAGTGGGGCTGAAACATTTTTTAAGCCCTGGAAAACAAGACAATATTTGGAGGTGGGTCAGGAAATGCCTCCCTGATTCACTGGGGTATAAGAAGGAGGGGAGTAGAACACAATCAGAATTGCAAGATTCTGTTACTTTAGCTAATCTCAATAAAGATATTTCTAGCCTTCCTGTGGCATTGATTTTCTGCTCTGGTCTACCTAGTGGGGCTAACAAGAGAGAAATGGATGAGCTGGGACAGCAACCCACGAGTTTCACATGAGAAAGGTTGTTGACGGATCACTCAAAGGAAAATTGCTGTCAAGGTTGGCATTTTGCAGGAATGTGTGGGTCACATTATTGACATTCTTCAATATTGGATAGTTTCTCACATGCTAACACTAAGTGTGAAGTTGGATCTCACCATCTTACCACATCTAACATACAGACCTAGTACCATGCAATATCCACCTTTTCCCAGAATTGAAGGAATATCTTTGTGGTATCTGTTTGACTCAAAGGAAGAAGTGGAAAGGACTGTCGGGACCTGATTAAAGAGACAGTCACTGAGTTCTTTCATGGCAGCTTTAAGAAGCTTGTCCATTGTTGGCAAAAATATATAAGGAATGGTGGTGACTATGTGGACAAGTAAATACAGGTGACAAAGGAACTAATTTCAAGGATTATTTTCATGTTCATTTATTAAAATATCCCTATATAAACTAGAGTTATAGGGGTGGAAGCATGCGACTGTTCGAAGTTACAGTGGTGCTGAATGAATGGTGGTTATGGCCCTTGGAGTTATGGCCATCCGCAGCACCCCCGTGATCTGGGGCTTGGCAACTTGGGGTTGGCAGGTTGCACCCCCAAGATCTGGGGCTTTGCAACCTGTTCACACTTACAACCATTTGCCAAGCACTCTGCGATCACATGATTGCCATTTGCAACCTTCCCTGCTGGCTTTCCCAGGAAGTCAATGGGGAAGCCAGCAGGGAAGGTCACAGTTCACTAGCGTAAGTCTCCCCCGCCCCTCTGCAGTCATGCTGCGCTGGCCACTCGCATACCCCCACATACCCTCCCTGACCTGCAATTAATTTTTAAAAATCCATATTTGGCCAAAACTTGCTCCAAAAATTTGAACTGCACCATATCAAAGATCCTTTCTAAATCCAAAGAGACCATTACTGACAATTTTTCAGAATGTATATCTAAAATAACAATTAGTAGTCTAGTAATATTTCAAGCTGGTCACACCTTTATTAATCAAATTGCACAGGTTGTATAACCCACTTTTGCTGCCAAATGAGCTTTATTAAATAGTTTTAGTTTTTTAACTGTTTGTGAAGTCTGATCTGGAAAAATTACCTCCTATTTCTATTTCTATGAAGCAAAACAAGCAGGTCACTTCATTATCTATTTTCAACACTGTACCAACATCCATAGTACATTATTTACCAAAGTTTCAAAGTGGGTAATTCTGTTTTCATGTGAATCAGTCACTAACATGTTTAAAGCTTCCATTTTCTGATTCAGAGAATCATTCCTCCAAAAACTGCATCCACAACAGTTTTTATCTGCGTTAATTCATTCAATATAAAAGGCTATATCACAAGTGAGACCTTTTAAGTAATAAGCAACTTTATATTACTTCATTTCTATGTGAGTGTTTTTTCCTTATAGATCAGAAATAAAGTTAGCTTTGGACTGTTCTTCAGCTTAAGTATAAATCTAAGAAACTAATCCTTCCTTGGAGAAAAAGGGGGTAGTTTCTGCTTTCTCAAGACGGGTAATTTTCTCAACTGTGGATCCATGATTTTTCATTACAGAGTAGCAGTTTAAACAAAGGCAAAAGAAGTTACCTCTTATCAATTAAGCAATTTTAAAAAATGAAAAGATTAGTAGATAGCCCTTTAACTGGCACAGAACCACAGCTATAAATCAGAATGTTGCCACGCCATATTGGAAGTCTATGTCACTATTTTTTTCTCAATTACTAATTTTATTGGATTATTTTCGTTTTTACCAATAGGCTATTATGTATAATTGTATATATTTTTTCATATTATAATTATGATGTTGAATTTAGGATTACTGTTAAGTGCCTTGAACTGTCAGGAATGTGGGATATAATTTGTTAAATAGTTAATAGACCTATTTGGCTTGTGATCAACCTGCTGTCATGTTAATCAGCACATAAATTTAAGTAATTTGGGAAGGCATTTTGTGAGTACTCAAGCCAACTGAGGCTTAAGTAGGATTTGATTGAAGACCAAGTTTTCTGAATAGCAATACTCCAAGTTTAAAATGTTTTCCCCAGAGCTGCATGTGACCTTAAGGTATCAGAAGGAAATTATTTTATTAATTCATAAATTGTAATTCAGGAAACTTTGTTTTAATCTGCCTAACATTCTATGTGCATGTGTATATATTCATGTGTGTATACATATGTAATATCATTTGGGGGGAAAAAACAAAAGTTTAATATAGGAATGAAATATTTGATTTTATACCAACTTACTATTTTAATGATATAACTTCTAATTTTGGAAATAAGTTTGGATAGAAATATATTAAATAATATGTGTGAGTATATACAGTACTGTGCAAAAGTTTTAGGCAGGTGTGAAAAAATGCTATAAAGTAA